GACGTTCGCATGCGTCCGCCCCATCAGCACAGCGTTTCGTGGCCCCATAGGGAGCTCTACCGAAGGCCCCAGTGGCGAATTGCGCATGCGTCCGCCCAACCAAGAACAGCGTTTCGTTGCCCCATAGGGGAGCTCCACCGGAGGGCCCCGTGGCGACGTTCGCATGCGTCAGTCCCGCCCAGTGTAGCGCTTCGTGGCCCCATAGGGAGATTCACCGAAGGCCCCAGTGGGGACTTTCGCATGCACCCAGTACAGCGTTTCGTGGCCCCATAGGGAGCTCCACCAGAGGCCCCCGTGGCGACGTTCGCATGCGTCAGCCCCGCCCAGTACAGCGCTTCGTGGCCCCATAGGGAGATTCACCAAAGGCCCCAGAGGCGACGTTCGCATGCGTCCGCCCCATCAGCACAGCGTTTCGTGGCCCCATAGGGAGCTCTACCGAAGGCCCCAGTGGCGACGTTCGCATGCGCCTTCGCCACCCACTACAGCGTTTCGTGGCCCCATAGGGAGCTTCACCAAAGGCCCCAGTGGCGATGGTCGCATGCGTTTGCCCTACCCAGTTCAGCGTCTCGTGGCCCCATAGGGAGCTCCACCTGAGGCCCCTGTGGCGACGTTCGCATGCGTCCCCCAGAGGCGACGTTCGCATGCGTCCGCCCCATCAGCACAGCGTTTCGTGGCCCCATAGGGAGCTCTACCGAAGGCCCCAGTGGTGAATTGCGCATGCGTCCGCCCAACCAAGAACAGCGTTTCGTGGCCCCATAGGGAGCTCCACCGAAGGTCACATTGGCGACGTTCGCATGCGCCCGCCCTACCCAGTACAGCGTTTCGTGGCTCCATAGGGAGCTCCACTGAAGGCCCCAGGCCCTTGGATTACTAGCCAGCCGCTCTTCGGTTGATCGGGAGTCTCTGTATATAGAAGAAGGGGCGTGTGCTTGTGGGCGAGAGGAGAATGAGCGGGAGGCGGTGGTGCCGCGGGTGAGGATGAGGAGGGTGAGGATCATGAGGGCGATTTTCGGGAGGGTGAGGATCAGCAGAGTGAAGGTCCTTCTCCTCCTCCTCTTCCTTCTCCTCCTCCTCCTTCTCCTCCTCCTCCCCCTCCTCCTTCTCCTCCTCCTCCTCCTCCTCCAACTCTCCTCCTACTCTCCCTCCTCCTCCTCCTCCTTCTCCTCCTTCTCCTCCTCCTCCTCCTCCTCCTCCTCCTCCTCCCCCTCCTCGTCGTCCTCCTCCTCCTTCTTCTCCTCCTCCTCCTCCTCTTCCTCCTCCCCCTCCCTCTCCCCCTCCCCCTCCTCCTCCTCTCCCTTCTCTTCCTCCTCCTCCTCCTTCTCCTCCCCCTCCTCGTCCCCTTCCACCTTCTCCATCTCTCCTCCTCCTCGTCCTTCTTCCTCTCCTCCTCCTCCTCCTCCTCCTCTTCCTCCTCCTCCGTTCCGTGCACTTATGATGATTCCAGCCCGTCGCACCCCGAGGCCGGTCGAAAGGGTGGGTTGGGCGTTCCGCCAGAGACCCCCTCACCATTTGTGATCCTGACGCTTCAAAATTGGCAACAGTTCCAAAGATGGAGGGCGGGTGGCTTTCAAAATGTGGCTCTCGCCTTAGCGCCGCGAACATTCGCTTTGCACATGTGTTCGAGTTTCACAGATTTTGGGCGGGCCGTTTTCAAAATGTTGCTCTCGCCTTAGCGCCGCGCGCATTTTGATGTTCTTTTTTGGTGTGTCTTAACATAAAATTGAACAGTTTCACGGATGGAGGGCAGTTCCTTTTCACAATGTGGGTCTCGCTTCAGCGCTGCGCGCATTCGGTGCTGAGAAATTACAACAGTTTCACGGATTGAGGGCGGGTCGTTTTCACAGTGTGGCTCTTGCCTTAGTGCCGCGTGCATTTGTCCAAACCGAAACAACAAAAAACAATAACTTAACGAATTGAGGACGGTTCCTTCTCAACATGTGTTTTTTTTTCTAGTTTTAAAAAGCAGTTGCAGTAGTTTGACTGCTTCTAATGGTTAACGCAACAGAAATGGTGCTTTGGAGCGGTTCAGGATTGTCAGGGCGCAACAGTTACGTCGGTTCACGGTGTTGAAGTCTCAGGAGCGGTGTTCTGGCACGATTCAGGATCGCCAAGACGTAAAAGTCAGGTTAACTCGTGGCGTTGAAGTCCTGCGAATGGTGATTTGGCGCGCTTCAAGATTTTCACACGGTTGTCCCCCAACGGGTCAATTCCCTCAGAGGAAATGAACCCTTGTAGGGACCTATGAGGAGGGAGCTTGGATGGAGGGTGTATTCCAACATCGTTGATGAGTCTTGGGTTTGCACTGGTCCCCCTCCTCCTCCCCTCCTCCCTCCTCCTTCCTTCCTGCGACCTCCTACGTCTTCCTTCTTGCTCGTCCTCGTCATCGTACTCGGGGGCTTTACCCGGCGGGCGATTTGGCGACTTTGCGAGGGGGTCTCGAGCGGGAGCCCCAGACGGGTCGAGTTTTGCGAAGACGTCTCGAGCGAGAGCCCCGGACTGGGACACGCCCTGTGCGCACCAGCGTGCCGGAGCGCGCGTTGGCATGTCCTCAGAAATGATTCCTGTGAGTGCGGCGAGGCCTAACTATCTCGCGGGTCAGGGGTCGACTCTGCGAGAGGGTGTCTTGCAGGAGAGCCCCGGAGTGGGACACGCCGGGTGCGCCCCGGCGCGCGCCAGCAGATCCCCGGAGATGGCCCTGAGGGCGCTGTGGGGCCCGACTTTCTCGCACGCCGGGGATCGACTTTGGGAGAATTGACCCGAGCGAGAGCCCCGGACTGGGACACGCCCTGTGCGCTCTGGCGCGCCCCGGCGCGCGTCTGAGGGCCTCCCTGGGAGGGAGGCTCGCGGGGCCGGTTCTCTGAGGACGTCCCACGCGATGGCGCTGGTCTGGAATTCATCGCCGGATTTCCCGGACCTCCCAGAAGCAGAGCAAGGGGGTCTTTGAGGGCCTCCTTGGGGAGGCTCCCTTGGGGAGGCTCGGGGGGCCAGTTTTCTGAGGATGTCCCACGCGAGGACGCCGGAATGGAATTCGTTGCCCGATTTCCTGGATTTCCCAGAATTAAAGCAATGGGGTCTCTGAGGCCCTCCTTGGGGAGACTCGGTGGGCCGGTTTTCTGAGGATGTCCCACGTGCGGGCGCCGGCTTGGAATTCGTCGCCAGATTTCCCAGATTTTCCGAAAACGGAACAAGAGGGCCTTGTAAGGCCTCCTTGGGGAGGCTGGGGGATCAGGTTTTCGGAGCATGTCCCGCGCGAGGGCGCCAGTTTGAAGTTCGTCGCCAGGTTTACCAGATTTCCCAGAATCCGGACAAGGAGGCCTCTGAGGGCCTCCTGGGGAAGGCTCGGGGGACGGTTTTCCGAGGATGTCCCCCGCGAAGGCGCCGGAATGGAATTCGTTGCTGAATATTCCGGATGTCCCAGAAATGGAACAGGGGGGCGGTTGGCAGGCCCATTCCCTCGCGCGCCCAGGTCAAGACGACGTGAGTTCTCAAGACAAGCCTTTCCAAGCAACAACAACGGCTCCCGTCTGATACGTCCTCACAATTTATTGAAAATCGCACTTTCGCTAAAGACATCGTTGACATTCTTATCAGGAAGCGCGCTCTCGCGTGGCGTTCCCTTGCAATTCATTGCGGCGCCGTGCCCCCAACTCTCAGGAATCACGCTCCCGCATTGGACTTCCTGACGATTTACTTGGGAATCTCGCCGTTGCTCGAAACTTCCTTGTGATTCATGTTGGATTCACGCTTCAGCGACTCGCCCGCTCGACCCAGCCGTCTGGGCCCGCCCGCCCGACCTGCCCGTTAGGGTCCGCCAGCCCGACCCCCCCGCCTGGTTCTGCCGTTTTTACTCCTGCTTCTAACCCCTCTCCTGCACATTTCTCGTGCTCCATCCTTCTCCCTCCCCCTTGTCCCTTCCCTCCTCCCATCCTTCCGCCGTTTTATGCCCACTACGCGTGGCAGTTGAGGGAGATAACCCCCTAAGGAGGGTACGATTGAAGACGAAGATGGCGGGTACCGAGGGTTTGGGATATACGTGTTGAAGGGCACGCGATCAGACAAGAGCTCACAGTCAAACACTGATTGTTCTTATTTTCATTCTTTAGTATTAATTATTGTTGATCCCCCCCACCGGGGAACATTGTGTTCTTCAATTGAAGTGTCCCCCTCGGGGCTCGCACTCTGTCTCTTAGCAGGGAAAGTCTTCGTGTTCAAACTGGGTTGGTGCCCCGCCGACTACAACAACAACGGCTCCCGCCTGATACTTACTCACAATCTATTATAAAGTCGCGCTCTCGTGCGCGACGTCCTCACAGTTTAAGCAGACATCGCGCTCTCGCGTGGGAATTCCGGGCAATTTATTCAGACGCCGCGCCCTCGACACTCAGGAATCATGCTCTCTGCCTTTCTCACAATTTCAGAATCGCGATATCGCTTGAGACCTCGCGATTTATACAGGACTCGCGCTTCAGCAACCCGCCTTCTCAACTGGGCCGCCTGGGCCCGCCTTCCCGACCCGCCTGTTAGGGTCTACCCGACCCGCCCGATCTGCCCGTCTGGTTCCCCCGCTTCTGCTAATCTCTCTAGTGCTCCATTCTTCTCCCTCCTTCTTGCGTTCGCTTTCCTTGCCCCTGTTTTAGGAGCTCCGCAAACTACGCGTGGCAGGTAAGGAAGATGTACCTCCAAGGGGGGTACGACTGAAGACGAAGAGGGCGGGGATCGAGGGTTTGGGATATACGTGTTGAATGGTATGCGACCAGATAGGAATGAGCAGTCTTAAGATGATTGCTATTGCTGTTCGTGATAACAGTGATGCTGTGGTGGTTGTTGTTGGTGATGCGGGTGATGACGATGGTTGTTGTTGCTGCTGCTGTTGTTTTTGTTGGTCATGCGGCTCAGGAAGAAGACGACGGCGACTCCAACTGCGGCGTCGATGGCGGCGGCGACAACGAGCACGGCGACGGCGACGATGACGACGAGCTGGCGGCGCGGCCGCGACCGAGGCCCCGAGACTGCGCCGGGCCAAGACCTCTGAGCACCGGGGGCGCGGCGACGGGCGGCGCGCAGGGGGAGCATGATGATGATGATGATGAGGAGGAGGAGGAGGAGGAGGAGGAGGAGGAGGAGGAGGAGGACGAGGAGGAAAACGAGGAGAACAATAATAATGCTACGACTAAGAATAGAATGATCAATACTTGTGAGCATAAGAAGAATCCTGATGCGAATGGTAAGAACAGAGTAAGACGAATAATAATAATAATACTAATGAACATAGTAACAATACTCAGACTAATACTACTACAAAGAATAGTACCAATACCACTAATACTAAGACTGCCCACAAGAAGAAGACCAGGAATACCATGAATACGAAAATTGCGAATTAGACAGATATTAATAGTAGGAATACTACCATTACCAATAACACTGACAATACTACGAAACATAATAATAATAATGCTCATACTAAAAGAAGAAGAACAGGGAGGGAGGGAGGGAGGGAGGAGGGAGGGATGGAGAGAGGGAGGGAGGGAGAGAGGAGTGAGGGAAGGAGGGAACGGGAGGGAGGAGGAGGAGGAGGAGGAGGAGGAGGAGGAGGAGGAGGAGAAGAGAATGATGAGGAGGAAGAGGCAGCGGAGGAGGGGAGGGAACGCTCTCCGCCCATTCGGGTGCTTCTCGGTGGGCTGCGGGGCCCGCGTATAGCGCCCTGCCGGGCTGCAGTGTGCCAGGCCCCGGCCAGGTCACCGCGGGGCGTCGCGCTCCTTGTCTCTCTCATCCCGCGTGCGAGCGCGGCGAGGCGGGGAGACTTCGAGCGGCGCGATGAGAAATAAGGGGAGGGTGGGACATGGGGAGGAGGTGGAGGAGGAGGAGGAGGAGGAGGAGGAGGAGGAGGAGGAGGAGGAGGAAGTGAGGAGGAGGAGGAGGAGGAGGAGGAGGAGGAGGAGGAGGAGGAGGAGGAGGAGGGGGCCGACCTGCGAGGATTCACTGAATGGGCGCGAAGCCAGCCAGAACATGTAGCACAAACACTTATTGCGCGAGCGTGGTTCAGATACCGGCAGTGGCAGCACGATGTATACCGACATTGAATCTGGCAGCGGCAACTCCACCAGCTGGCTCGCTAGTACGGCCTTGCCACGCCCAATTTCGAAGGCAGACCTACGGAAGTACACCAGGGATACGTATGCTACGAGTGCGGCAGGGTTCTGAAGACCAAGGGCGCGTTGAAGCGGCCTTTTACTGTGGGGCACGTGGGCTTCGAGCTAACGGAGCGCCTCGCCAGATCTACTACATGCCTTAGGGGCGGCAAAGACTTCATCGCAAGGTCGCGCATCCTCAAGCACTTCAGAAGATGTCCCAGGTGCCTCGCGGCCCTGCAAGCTTTAGAACAGCCGATGGAACCAGAAGAAGCAGGCGACCGACGAGACGAAGAACAACTTCAAGGGGCCGCGAGAAAGGCACAAGGACATGGAGCGACCAAGGCACTCGTACCAGTTCAACAAGCACTCCGCTTGAAGCTCGCTGACCACATCGACCAAGACCTGCTACCGTCATCACCAGCAGCTGTGGGTGTTGAACCAGAGGCGCCCGCACCTACAACCTTCACGACATGCAGACCGCTGGTTACGACGACTATGATTCTGCTGCACCTCTTCTCAGGACGAAGGCGAGTGGAGGACTTCCAGCACCACTTCGAGATGCACGCAGCCTGCTGCAATTTGGCGGTCCTCTCCATCGACGTGCAGATCGACCCCGCCAAAGGCGACCTCACCAAGCAGGACGCGCTGATTGTCTGGTCCAGCGCCATTCGGGCTGGCAAGATCTTCGGCCTACTCGCAGGGCCGCCTTGCGAAGCGTGGTGCTCCTCAAGGTGGCATTCCCTCGAGGGAAGAGCCCCGCGACCTTTGAGAACCCACGAATACCCGTGGGGTGTTCAAGCAGCCATCCAGACGGAAATGCAGCAGGTAGCACTGGGCAACGACCTCTACAGAACGGCCAGATTGCTCATCACGACGGGTTTGACATACAAAGTATCAGCCATACTCGAACATCCAGCTCCTGCCACCTGGTGCCCGCAAACGCCGAGCAGCTGGCATAGAACGGATACCCACTTGCTACTGGAGCAACAGGGCGTGGAAACTTCACTACATCGACCAGTGTCAGTTCGGACAGACAGCGCAGCAACCAACCTGCTTATTAGCTATGCGAACTACGGCAGGAGCTACGGGCAGTACCTGGGGGGCAGGCCTGCAGGCGCAACGGACATGATCGAGCCTGCGGATGCGACGAACGAGGTGGATGGAAGACGGCCCCACTCAAATAATATCCGTCGAGACTGTGCAGAGCCAGGGCTGCGGCCTTCGCGGGCCGATGGGGGCAGCTGGCAGACGACGACGCGCCTTGGGCTGCGACCGACGAGGAGTACCGCAACTTCTACGCACCACTAGACCACGACGCAAAGACCGAAGCGCTTGGCCACGACTGCCGCAGGGACTGCCCCCCCCGAAAGCGCTAACAGGTACGGGCCCATCGTGGGCAGCACGGCCCGCGTCAGACGCGCCGACCTCGCAGCTACGCGCATCGCCGCGACCAGCGCGCCCAACAATTACCGAACTACCAGCGCTCCACCACCCAACCTGCTGGCTACACCCGGGGCCAATCGGCGCCATGACCCCTCCCCAAGCCACGCCTTTTACGGCTGCGATATCGACGGCGTGCTCCTTGCGCCTGCGCGCGCGAGTCCCTGTTCAGTCAGGCCGTGAGGGCTGGGGCGGAAAGCCTGAATTCGCAGTTTGCCCCTGCCCGCTTCAATCCCCGCGTGTCTACGCACCCTGGGAAGACCCTAGACCGCGCCCTACCCCCGACGACCCAAAGCGCCCGTCGACCTCGACGACCGACTTCCAACAACGTCAGGGCGCAAGTCTTGAGGGAGCCCCGATTGCGTGGGAACACCTCAGGCAAGTGCCGCCGCGTGGAGCTGGATGCTCTCGGGCGCAAAGTCCCAGGGAAGCCCCGAATGCGTGGGGGCACCTCAGGCGCAAGTCGCCGCGTTGAGCTGGACATTCGAGAACGCTGGGGAGACGCGCGCGCGGTTCCTGCGCCGACCAGCTCGAACAGCCCCTCCAGATCGACCCGCAACGACCAGCAACGACCAGCAATCCGTGCGACAGCCCCAACCAAGAACACTGAGAACAGGAGAAGCTCGTCCGTTCGCCGACGAGGCGGAGCACAGGGCAAGTGCGACCAATCCCATCGCGACGAACACTGGCGCCAGGCCTGGGCATCGCCCCCATCGGGGGCGCAGTGGCCCCATAGCCATAGCGGGCGAGTTGGGGCAGCGCGACCCCCACTTGAAATCGGCGCATGGAGGCCATCGCGGGCGACCCCCGCCCGCGCATCATCACTCCGCCAGCGTGCGTACTCAGCGACCAACGGCGCCGACGGACTAGCCAGACCGAAGGTCACAAGTGAAACCACTGAGAACGGCAGAGCGCAAGAAAGGCGGCGCGACGCCGCGGCCGCGCGAGATCACCAATTAGAGGGCGCAAAGGGACACGACGGCCAAGGGCAGGAGACTCTGCAATGCGACGCGGCGCAGCGAGAACAAAGGAAGTGCGGGAGCTCGATGGAGAGGTGGCCAGGGGCAGGAGCCGCGCGCCTCGAGCCCCGCGCAAATAGGGCTGGGGAAAGGTGGGCAGGAGTGGGGTCCACGCGCCCAGAAAGCCGCTCGGGGCCTTGTGGGGAGGTGGCCAGGAGCAGGGGCCACGCGCCCAGGCATGCGAGAACGTCGGGGAGACGCGCGCGGCCCCTGCAACGACTGGCGCGAACGGCAACGCAAAACGATCTACACCGACCAACGACGTCCAGCAATCCATGCAACCAACAAGCACCTACAACACCATCAACGACCACCAGCAACGACCAACAACGTCCGCCAGCAACGACGACCAGCAACGACCAACAACGACCATCAGCGACCTGTGCGACCAATAACGCCCAACGCCGACCACCAGCAACGACCGACAACCAGCAGCAACGACCAACAACGACCACCAGCAACGACCACCAGCAATGACCAACAACGACCATCAGCGACCTATACGACCAATACCGCCCAACGCCGGCCACCAGCAACGACCAACATCGACCAGCAACGTCCAGCAACTACCAGCAACGACAGCCCTCTCCGCAGGTGAGGCAAGGCTTATACTTCGAGACGGGCTCGAAGGGGCTCGATGGGGGGGGCAGGGCGAGCGCTGCCCGCGCCTGCGGTGTGTGTGTGTGTGTGTGTGTGTGTGTGTGTGTGTGTGTGTGTGTGTGTGTGTGTGTGTGTAGCTCGCCACCCCCATCATCCCCGTGGCAGGGGAGGAGCTCGCCCGAGCGCCTGAGGCGGAGCATAGAGCAAGCGCGACGAAGCCCACCGCGACCAACACTAGCCCTCAGCCTGGGGTTCGCCCCCACCGATGGCACAGTGACCCCTAGCCATAGCGGGGCGAGGTGGGACCATCGCGAATCCTACCTGAAGTCGGTGCATGGAGGCCATGAAGTGCGACCCTCACCCGCGCGCCATCATGCCCAGCGACGCACCGCCCCAGCGACCAACGACGCCGAGAGACCAGCCAGGACCGAATATGATAAGAAGCGAAGCAGCTGTGATGGGTTGCGTGCAAGAAAGGGGGCGATACGCCACGACAGCACGTGGCCGCTAGCCAGCGGGCGCAAAAGGCCTCGGCGCCCAGAAGCGAGAGACCCTGCAGTGCGGCGCGACGCAGGGGGGGCAATGGCAGCGCGGGAGTTCTCAGGAAAAGGTGGCCAGGAGCATGGGCCATGCACTTAGAGTCCCGCCCAAGAAGTGATGGAAAAAGATGGACAGGGGCAGGGTTCATTGCCCATGCCCTGTTCGGGGCCTGTGGAAAGGTGGTCAGGGGCAGGGGCCGCGAGGCCAGGCCCAGACTCGGGGGGCAGCCTGCCCCGCCGACGAGTGGGCTCAGCGCGCTGCGCCGAAGGGGGCCCTGTCGCCTCCGAGCGGCCATCGCG